ACCATCCTCAAACGATGAACGTAAACCAAGAAATCAAGATGTAGTGGCCAACACCTTCGTCACTCCTGGTGGTGTTCATTCACTGGCATGGCGGCATGCTTGAGGCATGACTAGAAGTATGCTAGGACACTAGATGGCATGTACCCGAGACCTTGAAAACATACATGTGTTTTGTCTCAGCAAGTCTAGCAATTGTAGATGTCAACAAAGACTAAGAATGCTTATCAAGGGACTTTTGTGCTAATGGAAAGAATGGGAACACCGTAATGTTGAGAAAAGAAGGGAAGCACCGGAAGTGGTAGACATGCCCCTCCCACAAAGGTGACATGTAAACTCAGATGTGCCTCTTTGCTTCAGGATTTTTTTTTCCCACCTTGGAATGAGATTGGATGTATTCACTGTTTTTAAAAAAAATTCTCTCCAACAAGGTACTAGAATACACACACACACACACACACACACACACACACACACACACACACGTCTGATCCTAAGAACTATGTTCTTTTCTGTGTTCATTTTACTTTATTTTAGCTTTTTTGCAGTGCTAAGTATCAAACCCAGGGCCTCGAACATGCTAGGCACGCACGACCACAGGGCTATATCCCTAGTCCTTTCTACTTGACTGGATGCTTATACATGAATGGACATTGCCTCTGAAGGCTAATCTGGAGGAAGCCTGAGCCAATCAGAGCCAACGGACTTGCCACGCTTTGGTAGGCAGACTGGGATTTGGCCTTTGTTGCATGAATCTTAAAAGTTCTTATTAATAAAGAACAAACTTGAAGCCAGGTATTGGGGTAAACACTTGAAGATCAGAGAACCAGGACAAGCCACAGCCGCCTCACCTCGCCGGATCCTCAGCTGGTCTTGTTTCCTCAGACTGGAGGCCTCTGAGTCCTCATCCAGAATGGGTCTCAGCTGAACTGCTGCTAGAAGCCTGAAAGCTTACCCAGCCAAATGCTTAACCAGGCCAAAATGCTTCTAGTTCCTGGTCTTCACGCCTTATATACCTTTCTGCTTTCTACCACCACTCCCTGGGATTAAAGGTGTGAGAACACATGAATTTCTGCCTCTGGAATGCTAGGATTAAAGGCATGTGCTATCACTGCATGTTTAATATTGTGGCTGTTCTATCTCTGACCCCAGATAAGTTTACTAGGGTGCACAATATTATTTTGGGGAACACAATACCACCACAGGCCCTCTAGGATATGATGGCAGGGGTAGAGTGGAGCGGGGTATTGGGCTGTCATTTCCTCTCTTACTGGTGTTCTAGCAGAGGACTTAGCTCTAAGGAAAGTTGGTTAAATCATGCAGAGTGGTCCACACCTACAGTTTGCAGTGACTCTCCAGGCTGTGGTGGAAAGTCATGTGAGCTCAGCTTCAATTTGAGACCAGCCTAGGTAACATAATTAGAGCTTCTCCCCCAGATTTCAAAAACAGAAGTTTCTCTAAGCAAATACTTAATTTAGTACTAAGAGCCCTAAACTGGAACTCAGGAACTATGGATCAAAACTTAAACCTAACGTTTACAGTAATTGTGTGACCTTAGTTGAGACACATTACTTGGGCCATCGAGATGGCTCATTGGGTAAAGGCTGGTGACCTGAGTTTTATCCTGGGGTCCCACTTGGTGAAAAGAGAAAAACCGAGTTCTGAAAATTATTCCCTGACTTCCACACATGCACTGTGGCATGCGCAGGCAGGCCCACGATAAATAAATTTAAGAACTAAAGATGTATCATTCATCTGTGTTTTGAACTGGATCAGGATGACCTCAGAGCAGCTTCCAGTTTTGTAACTGAAATATAGACTATACACCGCTCTAACTACAGGTGGCCTGCCAACTCCCACCCTGCAGGAGGGTAATTGGAGGTTGGCTAGTTGAAAGTTAGCTAAGGGAAATCGAAATAGATAGCAGGTGATGAACTCAGATGACAATAATCAGGCTGAGTGCTTAATATGCCTTAGAATTTTACATCTATTCTTTTATATTGGGAGAGAGATACTCAGAGAATGTGAAAATTACCCCAAATCAAACATTTTATAAGTTTCTGAAGTTGACACTTTTACCTCTTGTAGTTTCTAGCCTGTCTGGACCAGGAAATAAGATTGACGTGTTTATGGCTGTTATTCTTTGCTGTTCTTTTTGTGAAAGCCACACATAGAAAGGAAGGAACCATGTAAACCAAACATATCTTTACTCAGAATGAAACCGAATCCCAGTAATTTTGAGTTATTTGGCCAATTTGGAATTCTAAACTCATAATGTTTCTTAAATTCCATAGATTACTTAATGAAAATTCTCTGTTTATTGACGATTGTGGAAGGAATGTCTTCTCCTTTGAGAAAAATCTGTAAACTGGAGAAAAGAGTAAAAGAATACAAAGTACTAGTAATATTACTACTTGTGAAAATGAAAACAAAGCCAGACATCATCAGTGGGAGAGATGTAGCTCCCTGGTGGAGCTCATTCTTCACATACTCGGGGCTTTGGGTTCGATTTCAGCACCCACAGTCCGCCTAGGCAACCCAAATCAAGAAGTCCCAACATTTTCAATAGTTTGACGTATTTCCTCCCACTCTTCTTCTAGCCATTGGGTAACACTTGTGGTTAACATTACTATTATTGTTATT